TATAAAATATATATTTATATTTATTTGGAGTGGAATGGCCTGAGGAGATCCTGTAGCTCCTCTTTCCTCCCAATACTGACCTGTGGATTCAGTGTTTCTCACCCATCTGTTGATTTTCACGAGCCATTGAGGTTTTATGAAGGAGCACAGTGGCCTCTAGTGGAACCTCCCCTCTCCTCCTCCTCCACCTTTAAGTTTCAGGAATGAACCAAGACCCCTGACTAAATTTTCACCTGTCTGAATTTTCACCTGTCTGAATTTTCCCAGTTATTTCATTTGCAGCAGGTTTCTCATGGTTCCTGTACAGAATGTTTGTGCATTTGGGTTGGTCACTGTAACCTGAATTCTGTGCAGAGGCACCAGGAGTGTCTTTATTTACATCATCATCCCCCCATTGTTTTCAGTGCATGTAGGAGCTGATTCCCTTGGCTGTGCAGCTGTGGCCTGTGGCAGATGACGAGCAAAAGTGCAGCCAAAATGGCTAAAATGTGGCATGGGGACAATAAATTGGAATCAGGCTTTAACAATAGTGCTCTGATCTCAAAGGTTGGAAAACGCCTTTTGATAAGAATCTGTTGTTCCATAAAAGAAGTCGTTGGTGGTGGTGACTGCAGAAGGGTGTGGGAAACATTGCAAGGCTTTCTGGGGAGAATTTTTAACAGTATTGGCACCTGAAGACCAAAACTATTGCACAAGAAAGACAACAATCATTTCTTCGTCCATGGATAACTCACCTCCACTTCTATTCCACTTCACCACAAGTCACTTCTCTGACTCGTTGTTTCCCAGTGTTTCCCATGTTTTTGAAGCCTTTTGGAAGCAGAGGTCTGTAGCAGGCAGTGGGAAAGCTGTTGGAGGTGTCTGTGCACTCAGAAAACCCAGGTTTGAGGGGAGCAGAGATGAAGGAGCCGAAGCCCATCCCCTCCTCCCTTCCCTGCCTTCTCACAGAGCAGGGTCGGGGGTGGTTGGGGTGCAGGGTGGTGCCAGGTCAGCAGACAAGGCACTGTAGTCTGAAAGAGTGGAGGAGCACTGGGATTTTATAGGGAATAGATGTTTGAAGAGAATAGATTCGGGTGTTTCCTGGCTGTCAGGCAGTGGCACAAGCTGCCCAAAGCAGGTCAAGGCTGAACTCGCTGCAGGGCTCCAGAGATAGTCAGAGATGTCAACAGCCACATCTGGCACAGTAACACCACATTTTAAAGGCCTTTTATGATTGAATAGAGGCAAACCCTGAATTACTGATGTGCAAAATAAAAACCATCATTATTTTTGAAGAATGTTTCTGCCCAAAACAACAGATGGTGGCTCACTCTGGAGATCAGTCTATTGATAGCACAAGGGGCCTGGCATGAGAGTTCAAGACTGTTCATGTTCAAGACTGTCTTAACTAATTTCTTGCCTCTTTTCAAAGGTAAAAATGCCATTTTCAGAGCTGTGGTCAAAGGTGTCCCAACCCCAGAGGTGAAATGGTCACGTACACGAAAAGGGATGGATGATCCTGCCAAGTATGAAATGTCCTTCAATAGTGCTACAAATGAATTCATTCTGCAGGTAAAGATCAAATATTCCAGAAAAGACTTGTGGAACTTGAGAGAGAAATGGGAAGGAAAAACCTGCAATGGGCTGAGGGGCAGAGGAGGGGCAGGGACTGAGCTCTGCTCTGGGGGGAACAGGGACAGCAGCCAGGGAATGGCTGGAGCTGTGTCAGGGCAGGCTCAGGTTGGATCTCAGCAAAAGGTTCTTCCCCCAGAGGCTGGTTGGGCACTGCCCAGGCTCCCCAGGGCAGTGGGCACAGCCCCAAGGCTGCCAGAGCTCCAGGAGGGTTTGGACAACACTCTGAGGGACAGGGAGGGATTGTTGGGGATGGTCCTGTGCAGGGCTGGGGGTTGGATTCAATGATCCCTGTGGGTCCCTTCCAGCCCAGGATATTCTGTGATTCTACACATCCCCAGCTCTGAGACAACACAAAGATAAGCAAACAAAGCTTTTAAGAGCCCTTCTGGGAACAGAAGAGAGCTCTGAGCTGCCTTTGAGTGGCTGCTTTGTCAGGACTGAGGTGTGAACTGACCCCCAGTGCTGGGAGTGAGCAATTCCCGTGTTCTCCTTTTTGCTTTGTCAGGACTGAGGTGTGAACTGACCCCCAGTGCTGGGAGTGAGCAATTCCCGTGTTCTCCTTTTGCAGATCAACAGGCTGGAGATGGATGACGGTGATTTGTACCGGTGCTGTGCTGTCAATGAGTACGGGGAAGCTTCCTGCTCCGTGGGCCTCAGGATCATCCAAGGTGGGGCTGACGGGGCTCCAAAGGTCCCAAACAGTCCGTGGCTGCCCCGGGGTGGGTGTCCCAGGCTCTGTCTGAGCATCCTCAGTGTGAAGGTCTCTTATTCCCCTCCCTGAGGACTGGAGGTCTGTTGGTGGCTCCCTGGCACTGTGAGCTTTGAGGCAAGGGAGAAGGAAGTGGAATTGTGGTCACAGCACTGGATGCAAACCTGTCCCTCTGGGTTTGACTGGGCTCGACCCTTCCTTTGTGTTGCTGAACAAACCAGTCCTTTGGGAGGGGTCCATCCCACTTCAGCTGTGGTCCCCTGCTTCCCTTCAGAGTCAGTGGGGAGAAATGGGCATTTTGTGGGTCAAATACAACTGATTTTCTTGGAATCTGTTTGAGCAGAAGCTGGACTGTGTTGGAAGTGTCCTCTAAAGCAAGTTTAGAGGGCACGTCTCTGCAGTTGGCCACTTCCAGCAGTTGGCCACTTCCACCGTGGCTCCCCACCTCCAAAACAAGGTGTTAATGTTTCCTCCCCTTGCTTAAACCATCAAATTCATGGGGCAGAAACGTTCTCCTCCTCTGTTTGGAGCATCCAGGAAGCACAGAGTCCATTGCAATGGAAATATCACATTTATAGATGGAGATTCCTGGGAGTCAATGTCAGACTGACAAAGAAATCCCAGCTGGGGTTTCCCCTTACACTGGGAGCAGATACGGAAGTTTCATGGGTCATTGGTTTACTGCTGTTTGTTCATCTCATGGCTTGTTTTCCTTCTGTTTTCTCTTATAAACTATCAGTTGGCTTTAAGAAGAAAGCAAAATATGTTCCTGTTTGTGCTGCTGAGGGTAAGAGAAAAATATATATTATAT